CTTAAAAGAGAGATCTACAAATTCAAATATGAAAGACATCACAGGATAAGGTTTCCAATAACATTTTTGTCCTATTTTTTTTTGTTTTCCTGTCTTCCTACCAATTATCAGTGTACTTTTGAGATGAGATAACATACTTATGATGTTCCTGACACTACTAAACAGTAAAGCTGGGTTTCTCATTCTAAAAATATCTCCTTTTAATTATATAAGTCCTTATTTTTCTTCTTAATTAAAATAATCAACTCTTTGTTTTACAAATACAATTAGAGCATTTTCATGAAAGACAAGAGTTGCCTGGCATAACTTTCTCCTTTAGCACTGTTTACAAAGGGATATGCTTATGATGAATCCACAGCTTCGGGCAAAAAGTTTGGTAAACATTTGGATGGACACAAAACTCTAGAACATATAATTTGTAGATGTGAGCAAGAGTGAGCCACACTCAGTCTGCATTTCCAAGTACAATGCAACATATGTTTTCCTTTTAATTATCCTTTTTTTTTTTCATATATTGCTGCCTCTTGTCATTTCTACAGCAGCGGCAGCAGCTCTACATGACTTTTATGTCGTGCTAAGTCAACCTACAGCATCATGACAACCTTTCTGCATACTTTTTGAAAATTTTCTAATGTAATGCTCATTGATATATTTAATGTTAAATCCTATTTAGTAATAGCATTTCAGATATGTAAATAAATAAAATAATAAATTTTTATGTGATTTTCTTTCCCCCAAAACACTGCCTGTGTGTTTTCCCCCCCCACTAATCTCTGTAGAACCAGGAGCTCATAACTGAATCCCACTTTCAATTTGAGGAATGCATAATTATTGCCGTGGAGCTTGGCCGGTCCTTAGGTGACTTGGCTTGCAAGTTGTGGCAACTGGCAACCAACGACCTCACCCTTCTTGTTGCCAATCAATAACTGTAACAGGGAGAAAAAAATGTAACAACAGCAAGTGATCTTCTAAAATAAAAAAAAGACATGAAAGTATCAAAATTTGGAAAACTTAAATCACAATTCATTCAACATTTTCCATCTAGCATTGAATAAAAAGAGTAATCTTACAAGTTCTGAAGAATTTCTAACCTCTAACCTTTCTTGAATAAACAAAATAAATGATGTTACTCCTAATACTAAAAAAGAAAGAGAGAGAAAGAAAAAAAATCCATGAATACTACTTAACAGCAACACTTACTTTATCTTTATAGAGCGCTGAGCAAATGAACATCTTATTTGTAGTTTCCACTTGGAGTCGCTGCACCAGTTGGCCAGTCTGCAGAGGTCATAAGATAAAGTTTCAGATGTCTCTAATTCTACTGGATTTTAAATAAACTTACAGCATGAGATTCCAACTTAATTTTCTAGTAAAAATAAAAATAAATGACAGAGG